CTTCCACCCCACCATCTCGCCATCCCTCCCCCTGCAATCCCTGGACGACTGGCGGTCTTGAAGGTGCCCCCTCGCCCCTCCCCCACCACTTCACCACCCCGACCCCACCACTGCACCACCCGTTCCGCTCTGTTGTGCCGTCCTCACGCGACCGACGCGCCACCCTCAACCCCTCGACCCCAGGAGCACTGGCTTGGCATCAGCCACCAAGAGCCGCCAGAGGCCGCGGCCCGCGCGGCGGCCGGGCTCGGGCTGCCGCCCGCCGTGCAGGAGCAGCTCCAGCAACAGGTCGCCGCGCTGTCGCAGCAGCAGCGCCAGCAGGGCTCCCCCGGCTTATGAGACCGGGGAGCCAGTGGCGTTCGCGCCGCCGCCCCTCGGCGCGTCGCGGCGTGTCGCGGGGCGGGGCGGCGGCGCCCGCGGCAGCCCGGCCTTCGCGGCGGCCCACCATAGCTTGGATACTTTCGCCATCCCAGTCAGCACGCCACCGCGGCGCCTGGTCAACCCATTATTGACCGGCGTGTCCCCTGCTTCCTACGCCGCCAGAGCCAGCGACGCACCCGTCCGTCCATAAAGGCCAAGGCGGGGCAAGTCTAGTTAGTGTCAGGCGGCGGCTGTGTCTTGAGTAGATCAGAGCCCCCGCCTGCGCCAGCGCGCGGCCAGCCCCTAGGCGCAGGCCGCGGCGGGCGAGGGACGCGCGCCCGCTCGCCAGCCGCGCGCGGCGCGCCGGCCTTCGCCTTTCCGCGGGGAAGCGTTGCCATCTCTCTTGCGTGTTTTTTTCTCGGCATTCCCTGGCCTGTCCTCGTTGCGTGTTTCGTCCGTGGATGTGCTCTACGCCTCTCCGTGGGGCTTCTGTCTGGCGCCCATCAGCTGCCGCCCTCGCCTGCATAGGCGCCGCGCGCGGTGCTGAGAAGGGCCCCCGCCGTGCTCGGCAGCACCGCCGGCGGGCGTTTGAAGCGCGCTGTGTCTGGCTTCTATTTACACGCATGGGCCAAGGCCCAAGGCCGACCCCCGAAGGACCAGCCCAGTTGACGGGACAAGCGGGAAGGGCGCCAGCCGCCGCCCGCACCCGGGCGGCGTCGGCCCGGCCCCAAGGCCGCCGCGCGTGGGGCGGCCGCAGGGGCCTGCGTGCGGGCAAGTCGCGCGGGCCAGAGGCAAGTGTCCGCCCTCTCACCTCGTGCCTCGGCGGCGCCCGCCGCGCCTCTAGCCCGCACGCGCGACGGGATTATTGCAAACCGCCCACACCCGCGCCGCGGCCGCGGCATCGGCCGCCGCAGCGCGTTCCGCGGCGTCGAGCGGCATCCGAGGGCGCGGCGCCACGGCCGTCCGCGGCGCCCAGCGAGCGGTGCCCCCCGACGGCCCGGCGGCTGCCTCTCGTTCGGCACTGCGGACCCGCCCCACAGTAGACAGCGTTATTTGCGCCGCGCGTCCCCGCGCCGGCGGGCGAGCGCCGGTTGCGGGCGCCCGCGGGCACGGACTCCCCACATCGCGCCAGCGCGCGCAAGAGACGCGCGCCACGGCCCGCCTCTTCTCTGCACTCATCCGTTCCGGGCCCCGCGGCGCCGCCGATGCGCGCGGTCCGCGCATATGAGCGGCGCCGTCAGGTGTGGGCCGCGCCCCACGCCGCGCGTCCGCAGCGCGGGACGCACGCAAGAAGGGAGGGCGCGTGGACGGCACTGCTTGAACAGCAGCCGACCTCTGATTGCAGGGCGGCGCATGCTGCAGCGCCCGGGGTGCGCACCGACGCCGCCTGCGGCGGCGCAGCCCGTCCCCAACCCCTGCCCTGCCCCCGCGCGCCACCGCCGCGCGGACGGGCGAGGGGGCGCGCACGCCCCTCCCAGGGCGGCCCGCCGGCCCGTGCGCCTCTGGGCCGCCCGCCGGGCGCTCGCCGCGCCGCTGCTGCGAGTTTGGCCGCCCGCAGCGACCCTGGCGCGCAGCCGCCGTCCGGCTGCGTTTGGCGTGTCGCATTGTGCTCTTTGCAGGACTGTTGGCCGCCCGGCCCTGGCCATTACACCCGGCCGTCCCCCTCTGCATGCATTCACAGCCGTACAGAACTGGACCCCCGGGGCCGCCGGGCGGCGCAGTTGCCACAACCCGTCCCCTCGCCTGGCAGCGGCCGCGCGGTTCCCTCCACGCCGCGCCGCACCGGCACGAGCGGGCCCCGGCCTGCGTGCGAGGGTCCCCGCCTTTCCACATCTTAGAAGAGACCACCCGGCCCCGCTGCATCGTTGCCTCTCTGCACGCGCGCCTCCCCCAACCCCTCGCCTCCCCGCGGCCGCGACTTAGTCAGGGCGCCCCCCGCCTCTTCGCGGCAATGCAGCACTTGCCCCGATACGCAGCACTTGCAGCAGCTCGGCTCAGCCCGTTTGACACATGACACCACCCACGTTTACACACACACACACTCCTCTAACAAACACACTGACGCTCCGACAAAATTTGGCGGCGCGACGCGATTATTGATGACGCCGCGTTTTGACCCACTCTCAACCCCGTTGACTCATGTTTGACTAACCGAACACCCTCAACTGAACGTCACATTACCTGACGCTGCGCGGTCCCCACGCGCGGCGCGTGCGTCCGCGGCAACCCCGCACGTCGGCACACGCACATATACGCGGCGGGCACGCCCGCGCGCGCGCGCCGCGCGGCGGGAGCCCGCCCACGCTTGCATGCCAAATACAATGGCTTTTCCAGGTGCCCCGGCCGGCGCCGCCCCGCGCCAGGGCTGGTCCCCCTCTGCGCAGCCGGGCTGCTGGCGCCCGCATAGCCGCGCCGGCGCCCGCTGACGTCTGGCGGCCGCGGCGCCCGCGCCCTCGTCGCTCTCCAGCGCTCCGAGGGTGTCGGGCGCCGCGCAGCGGCTGCCCAGAAAGCGCCCTTCAAGGCGCTTGGCGCGGCGGGCGCCCGGCGGCCCGGCCTCCAAGCATCCCAGGCGGGCAAGGCTGTGTGCAGCGGCAGGCAGGGAGTTTTGCGCATTACAGCATGAGGCGCCCTGTCGTACCCCCTGCCAGTGCCCTGCTGCCTGCAACCAGTCGAGGCCGCCCCGCCTCCCGCGCTCGTTTTCACTTAGCAAGCTCGGTGCCCTCCCAGCATGATGCATTGCATGGCAAGACAGGAGCCGTGCCGCAGGGGCAGGCAGGCACGCACGCACGATCCGTTTGGGGGATGCCGGGACAAGCAGCGCTTGAAATTCGCCGGCGGCGAGCCGGGGCGCCGCGCTGGCCCCCGGCCCGTCTTGCCGGGTAGGTGGCCGCCCCATCTCGCGGCGCCCTGTGCCTACTTGTGTCCATTCCGGCGCGCGGCATGCTCTCGCGCGCCCGGGGGCGTTTGGAGACCCCCGCCGCCCCGACCTAGGCTGTAGCTCCGGCACCTGCACTGGCCCAGGCGCCCCGCAATGAGCGGCACGTGCGCTTGGACCCTTGCGGCGACCAGGACCCCAGCACGAGCATCCCTACCCAAGAATGACCCCGGCCTGCCGCTTGGCCGGGGCCCGAGTGCTGGGGCGTTAGAACGTGGGAGCAACTGGGTAGATACTCTGCACTGTCTGTCGGCCCTCTCGCATGCGCGCGCTCGCGCGCCCTCCCCAGTTGCTGGGGTTTTGTTCTACGCCCTGCCTCAATCCCTGTGCTGCTGTGTTTGTTTATGCGTGCGGCCGCCGCTGCCGCCGCCCGCGCAGAGGCCCATTTCCCCCTATGCGTGCCGCACCGCCGACCGCGCGCACCGCCGCCGCGCGCCCCAGACACACCCGCAACGGATAGCCCGCGCGGGGCCAGGGCGCGCGCGGCGGGCGCCGGCGCCTTGTCTCACTGAGTATGATCCGGTCAATGTCGTGTTGTAACTGTCCCACATGTCTCAGGCTGTATGTTTTCCATCAGTATACGGCCTCGCGGGCAGTCTGGGTGCGGATCCAGGAGGTGCAGCCATGATCTGTGACCCGCTGCCCCTGTTCCTGAGTGGGGGTGTGCCAGCGGACAAACGAGCACCAGGCACCTTGCCTTGCTCTGGAAGGCCGGGCCTGCCAGGGTCAGGTGGGGTACGGGCACCATGCCATTGCCTGGGACCACATATAAGGCGTCGGGGCAGTGCACCGCCACGGGCAGGTAATCCAGGGCCACCTTCTCTAGGTGAACCACCTCCGCGAGCTGACTGATTGGTCAAACAAAGCACTTGAGAATCGGGTGATGCTTTCATCTTCCGTCTTGGCCTGCGCTAGCTGCTTATACAACTTGTTTCACTGCGGCCGCAGCGGCCGCGAAGCTATTCGTCCCCGCTTTGATGCGCGCCACGCGTGGCACTCCTGGAGGCACTGCGCCCAGATCGTGGTTGCGCCAAGCGCGATCACATCCTGAAGCGTCGCCCGCGCGCGCACATTGCATATGAATTCATACGAAACTACATCCACCCGTCTGAGTGCGACAGATTGACGCTCGTTCAGCGAGATTTAGGCTGGACTGGACCCCTGGGCTGGTAGATTGCTTTGATTGGCATCGTAGTAACATATTATCAGAATGAGCTCACTCCCGCAGCTACGGGGAGGCGGACCATGCCTTCGAGCACACCGGGGCACGGTTCCCAGCTGCTTCGCACCATCACTTCAGCAGCACAGGCAGCAGCGTGGCAGCCGACCTTTGAGGGCCCTGCCCGCTTCCGAGCTCGCAGATGCAGTTAGCCTGCACCAGCAGCACGCGCAGGCGCTCATGGATCTCGCGTCCGCCGCAGTGGCGTCGGCGCCAGCGGCGGGCGCGTCTGCGGCCAGCAGCAGCGCCCCCGACACCAGCTGGTTTGCGCCGCTGACGAACTCGTGCGAGGCGGTGCTCAAGCAGATTCAGGGCGTGCTGGTCAAGCTCAACGTGCCTTACTCATACGGCTACTCGATCATCCTGCTGACCGTGTTTGTGAAGATCCTAACATACCCACTCACCAAGAAGCAGGTGCGGGGGCGCGTGCGCATGGTTGGCAGTTGCGGGCAAAGGGGTGGTGCTGCCTGAGGCGTCAGCTCAGGGCCACCACCCACCTCACAAACCCTTTTTCTGTGGGCTTCCCTTGCGCGGTGATGGCTGCCGCTAAGCTGAGAACGTGGTGAAAACCCAAAATACAACTGTGTAATGGATCTCAAATAGAGGGCGCCGCGGTTGAGCGCATTTGGCACGCTCAACGGCGCCTCAGCTTGAGGCGGGCCAAATTCTCCAGTCACCAGGGCGACATTCGCCGCCCCCGTCGCCATGGACGCACACGCCCAAGCAGCGCCACACTCGCAAGCCACGAGCCGCCCGCGCACGCGCCCCTTGCACGACCACCTACCAGGTCGAGTCGGCCATGGCCGTGCAGTCCCTGAAGCCGCGCATAGACATGATCAAGGCGCGATACGGCGACGACGACAAGCGGGTGCAGGAGGAGACCAAGACGCTGTATGAGAAGGCCGAGGTCAACCCTTACGCAGGCATGCATGGGCGGGGGGGTCGCAATTGTAACACTTGGAGTGCATGGCATGCGAGGCGCGTGCGCATCATGCAGGTGCATGGGTGCACAGGCGGGCGCATGCAGATGCATGCATGTGCATGTGCATGTGCATGTGCATGTGCATGTGCAGCGGGTGTGCAGGCCTCGGCCCGAGTGGCGTCCGCATGGTCGGCCCTCAGCAACTCAATTCTGCCGCCTCGCCGCCGCGCCGCCCCTCCCCCGCCCGCCCCTCAGGCTGCTTGCCATCCATAGCCACCATCCCGATCTTCATTGGATTGTACAGATCTCTGACGCAGGTGGGGTGCTGCGTCTGGCGGCCAGGGGGTCGCTCGGGCCCAGCGGCACGCGGAGTGCGTGGCGGCACGGCCCGGAGTCTGTGGCGCCCCGCCGGCTGCCGCGCGGCTGCCCGCGGGCCGCCTGGCGGCGGGCCGCGCCGGCCGGCGGCGCGGCCCTCGACCGCTCCCGTCGCCGCGCGCCTGCGAAGCACGCCGTTTGCCGCCTTGCCCTCACCGAACCTGCAGGTGGCCCAGGAGGGGCTTTTGGACGCCGAGGGGTTCTACTGGATCCCAAACCTGGCCGGCCCGACCTCCATCGCGGCGCGGGGCACCGAGTGGCTGTTCCCCTTTGTGGACGGCGCGCCACCCATTGGCTGGGACCTGGCGGGGCGGTACCTCGTGCTTCCTGTGCTGATGGTGGTCGCGCAGTGGATCAGCAGCAGCATCATCACGCCGCCGGTGGGGAGGGCGGGCGG